TTTCTCTGTCCTCGCTCGGATGTAACATGTAGAAAAAATGCATAGAGCTGTTACACGTTCGACTCTGATGAAATTTTCAACAAATTACGTTTTGCAACACGAGACACGTGTTCATTCCTACGGTGGAAGATGAATGTTTCTGATTGTTCGATCGTCATGGGAAAACGTCATGGAGAAAAATACTGTACGCGTATGCATTTATGTGTACGGGGGGGGGGGGGGCTTATGTCGATCTACCGCAATGAAAAGTGAACTTAACGGGACGCGACTTTGGTCGAAACACTCGACAGATTCATACTTACTTACAAACGAATCTAACAAACATCAAATTTCAAATGTTCCGCATTGTTCCATCTACGTAACAATCGATTGTTCGAACGAAGAAAGAACAGTGCCGAGAATGTTTCTCGGACAGCGACGAGCATCCGATTCGCACGCGATTTCCTTCGAAATCGTTTCGAATCTTCCGTTACCTGTGTATTGCGGGAAATTGAGAATATCGCGCTACTGTGAATCAATGTCCTGAAATAGTGTTTCGCGTATTTATTGTCGCAAAAAAAGACATTGTACTTAAAAAAAAAAAAAAAAAAAAAACGTATCACGATAAGGAGAGTTTTGATTTAATTGATCGATTTACAAATCAAATATCATGATATCGCTCTGTGTTTCAATAAATATGTTAAGTTCTTGTTTCCTTTATGCAAGTCAAGGAAAATTTTAACACGAAATAATTATTTTCTTAAATGTTCAAGAATAAATACAGAAATACATATTTATTTGTAGCATTTATCGTGCTTCTCACTTGTGAGAAATGTAACTTGGTAAATTTGTCTCGAGGAAAGTTTAATCATCGTTAATTTAGAAGTCCAATGTTTCGGGGAGGAAAAAAGGGCAGCAACTTCGTCGCGAGTGCTGTCCATAAAATACGAGCCATTTTTCGCAACAATCGCATTTTTATCCTATACATGTAAACAAAGTAAAATTGTCATTGCAGTCTTACTAACTTGAGATTTCCGCGAATCTCGCGATAAAATGTAATGCAAGCTCTAGAATTGTTTCGACAAGTGGACGCACAGGGCAAACAACATATTGTATTACTTTACAATGTCCTCGAACTTCCAATTGACTTGGTTGCCTCCTTTATCGAAACGTAAACTTATTTCTCTTAAGTAGGTGCTTCTACGATGCTAATCGACTTACGTCTAGAATATGAGAAAATATATCTTGTAACGTCAGAAAAGTAAAATAATATGTTGCGTGTTCTGATGTCTTTTGCGATACATAAACTGAAACGAACAAAAAGAAAAGATATGTTCTCTAACGACTCGAATGTGTCTACATAATCGAGAATCGATCGATATGGCCGAATACAGTGCACGAGGAAGAATACGTAGCATATTTGAAAAATATAATCTGTGAATTAGCTTCCCGAGTGACGGGAAGGAAAATTCTATCATTACATATTTCTTTATAATTACACTCTGCTGTTCGTATAAAATATACTCAACTGCTAGTGACAAATATAAGACGTACTTAACAATATACATATAATATAATATAGTCGAAGTTTAAAAGATTATTCGTTAAGAATGCAGTGTTTTTTTCATGAGCCTCTGTCGTGTGGAATTACACCGTTTTATAATATAATACGTATCTCGTACAAAGAATAGAAATGCTTTAGAAGAGATTACAATACCATGAACATGTTTCGAAGAAACAAAGCACTAGCCAATTGTTAAAGATTACAGTAGAAAGAAACAAAAGGAAGGAATGAAGAAATGAAGAAAAAAAATAGACGTAGAAACCTAAACGAGCATAGGTAATAATAATAAAAAGTTTCTCCTTATCGGAGAAATATAATTCTCCGGTTTAACTCAACGATACGATACGATAACATGGGCATATACCTAGGCATGTTTATCCAAACGCGTGGCATAACACGGACCGTGCTTCTTTCGCGTGCAAAAATATATAAAAACTCTTTCTCATCGATCGACGCTGGGATTCCGACGATAATTTTTACATGATAACACACCATTTCTTGCTACCTTCGTTCGCCGATTTACTATTCTCGTCCAGTTCCAATTTACCGGACTGGAACTTCAACTCGGAGACCGGCGTGGAGACTTGTATAGGCTTGCGTAGCCCTTTCAACAAACTGATGGGACTATGTAACAAGCTGTTTTCAGCTTCTACTTTCTGCTTCTTCATAGAATTCCAGTCTTCGCCGTCCAGTTTCCGCTTTCTGTCCACTGGGCTACCGTTCGTGGTTGAAAGTGTATCGGACAAGTTGCTGCTGTAACGAAGGATCTTATAATCTATCGTTTCGTCTGGCGGTAGCGATGCGCTCGATGTGTTGACGAACATTGAGTCACTTGGCGAGTATCTGTGCTCGCGTAAAGTAACGTGACGCATTCTGCTGAGAGAACGTCGCCCGGAAATGCTTCTCAGTGTCTTGCCAAAGGACATGTCCTTCATCGGCTGGTTCAACGTACTATGACTAGCGTTACCCGTATCGTATAACTTCGAGTTCTCCTTCAAACAATCGTTCAGCTTGATCTGCACGTCCTTCAACATTATCGAAGGATCGTATGAAACGAACGACGCGTTCTTGGTCGCAACTTCCTCGAATTTCTCCTTCTCTTCTTCCTTCTCCTTCTGAACGTCGCTCTGCGACGGGGTTTCTGACGTTTCTGATATTTCCGACGTTGTGAATTCCAGAACGTCTACCGAATTACTTTCCGTCTCTGTTTGAGATTCGCTCTGCAACTCTTCCTTCTCTTGTGTGTCGCTCTTCGTTGCCTCTGCTTCAAAAGACGGTTTCTCGTCGTCTTGCTTCTTTAAATCTGCATCGTTCGTCGTTTCCACACTTGTGTTTTCAACATTGTCTTCCACTTCCAACTGCAAGTTTAAATTGCTCTCCTCGGAATCTTCCACATCTTGATTTTTATCAGAATTACTCACTTTCTTCTGGCGTTTAGGCTCCTCTTTTTCAGTTCTTTCAGTTATTTCTTTATTTACCTCTTGCGCCTTTAAATCCTCTTCTATCTTTGAAACTGAAACAGATTTATCAGTAGCATCGTCACACTTCTTGTCAGATTCTTCTACATCTTGAGAACTATCCACTTCGACAGACGTTATTTGTACGGTTGGGTTTTGCTTTGCATCTGCTTCTTCTGATTCTGGCTGCATCTTCACAGCGTCTGATTCTTCACTCCTTTCTGGAATAATTAATTTCTTTTTCTTCGAGGTTCCAGCTGCTCTATCTGGATTGTCTGTGGTTAGTTTTGCAATACGATTCAGCTCAAATTTCGTCGACGTCTCAATTTTCTTCTATAACAAACGTATTATTTCATAGTTTTTAGCAGGCTGGTCAAACATTTCCAAGAAGACTTTGAGAAAATTATCAGACTCACTTTAAAGTTCTTCCTTGGATTATGTGGTACTTTCTTCTGTAAGGTACTCAATTTAGATCTGAAATAAAAGTATTGTAATGTTCAAAATCATCTAGAAATGAATCATACGGATATTTATAATCCACGGAGCTAGAAATTCTGGAGGTGATGAGAGGTACTGATCCAAAGAAAAAAAAAAAAAAAAAAAAAAAAAAAAAAAAAAAAAAAAAAAAAAAA